TGTCTTTCTGTCTTTCTGTCTCAGGGTTAATGTACCTGCAGCGTTAAAGCTCCTGGCCGAGCGTCCAGAGCTTCTGGAGCTCCGCCCACTGCGATGACGGCGACGTTTCCTCCTCCAGGACGACTGACCAGGTAGGACAGACTGGACTTACAGCTGGACACCAGACCTGAAGGACGGACGGACGGTCAGGTCTTCAGGGTTCTCCTGCTTCACCGTCTGATTTATTTGAAATTGTTCCATCATACAACGTGCACATTGACACATGTATCGTTGCTACTAGACGTCACTTTTGTAGATGACCTGTCAGCTCAGGGTCAGCAGGTTTTTTATCACATTGAAACTTGAAAAAAATGAATCTGTCATAAAAAGTTCCGCCTCTGCTCTGAGCACATGAACAAAAACCTGATGATGCTGCAGATGTAGCTGCAGGTCTCAATAACACAAAACTACACGTTCACGATTCATGGGTCCTCAGAACGCAGGAGAACAAACTGAAGGAACCTTCAGAATCCCTTCATGACAAACATCTTCATTTAAGATCCCAACACTGCAGTTCTGCCCTAGGACACACCATCAGAACCACACTGAGCGCGCTCAGTCATCTACTACATCTAAAACTGAGTCCTGCAGTCCCTCATTGGACCACAAGGTGTCACATGACCCTGTTCTGTTCTCAGGTGAGCCGGCCTTCACCTGAACATCAGAGAGCAGAGAGTGCACCCTCTGATCAGAAACCACTCAGCGGCAGCGTGCTCAGTCAGCCAATCAGAGAGCCTGTTAGTGCCTCCTCCTGCTGACCTGCAGCCCAGTTTGTTCTGTACACAGACCTGACGAAACTGGGAGCAGGGGTCAGCTGACCAAAGGACACTGTGTTTCTATGGCAACACTGAGAGCAAGGGTCAGCTGACCAAAGGACACTGTTTCTATGGCGACACTGAAATATGACAGACAGACAGACAGGTAGACAGACAGGTGAGCACCTCCACACATGATGTAGTCCCTGAAGAGTGGAACTCTGAACCAGAACGGAAGCATCAGCAGGTGAGGAGTCAGTCCAGGAAACAGCTGAGAGAAACCTGTTGCCTCTGTACAGAAGTTACCAAACGCCCCGGCAACCAGCACACCTGACAGACAGACAGACAGACAGACAGGTTACAGACAGGCAGACAGACAGACAGACAGACAGACAGGTTACAGACAGACAGACAGACAGACAGACAGGTTACAGACAGACAGACAGACAGACAGACAGACAGACAGGTTACAGACAGACAGACAGACAGACAGACAGACAGACAGGTTACAGACAGACAGACAGACAGACAGACAGGTTACAGACAGACAGACAGACAGACAGACAGACAGGCAGACAGACAGACAGACAGACAGACAGACAGGTTACAGACAGACAGACAGACAGACAGACAGACAGACAGGTTACAGACAGACAGACAGACAGACAGGCAGACAGACAGACAGGTGTGTCTCTCACCGTGTGGGTGGAATCCAAAGATGTAGTTCTTCTTAGGATCCAGATCAACAGTTTTGATCAGCTGCAGACAGTAATCAGTTATCAATAGTCAATAATCAGACTAACTGATCAATGGGATCAATAACTGGTCTCACCGTCAGGGGGAAGTAGTCCCTGAAGTACTCCCACACCGTCCAGCTACGGACCCAACTGGACCTCCGACCCCCACTGGTGGGCGTGTCCCAGTCCAGCCAGAGCCAACCAGCATACAGCAGAGCCAGCAACCACCAATCAGAGAGAGCCAGCAGGACAAAGCCAGCCAGACAGCACTGAGCTGACAGACAGGTACAGACAGACAGGTGAGTTACATCAAGCTCCAACTCTTTAATCCAAGCTGCGCTGCACCAGATAGGGACAAGCTACAATTCTGATATTAATGTCATTCAGGAGCTCATAGAGTGTCAACAAGAATTAGCATTTGTTACCGAGCAAGGAGACTAGTGAGGGAGGCCAGCAAGACTCCTATGACTCCTCTGAAGGAGGTACTAGAAGGAGACTAGTGAGGGAGGACACTGAAACGCCTATGAGTCCTCTGTAGTTTCCAGCTTCAGCAGCTGAGATGTTAGAGACTGTTCATGACTAGTGAGGGAGGACACTGAAACGCCTATGAGTCCTCTGTAGTTTCCAGCTTCAGCAGCTGAGATGTTAGAGACTGTTCATACAACAACTGTTGTCTGTTCTTCACCATCAAAGCTTTATGGAGACAAAGAGAAAGACTCTGTTGGAAAAAGCTCAGATTAAATCTGGACTAGAGTTCACCAGAAGACATGTGGAGACTCTGAAGTCACCTGGAAGAAGGTTCTCTGGTCTGAAGAGACAAGATGGAGCTTTTGACCATCAGACTAGATGATGTGTTTGTTGTACACCCAACACCACAGAGCAACACACACACACAATCCAGACTGTGAAGCACGGTGGTGGCAGCATCATGATGAAGCACGGCGGCGGCATCATGATGAAGCACGGTGGTGACAGCGTCATGATGAAGCACGGCGGCGGCAGCATCATGATGAAGCACGGCGGCGGCAGCGTCGTGATGAAGCACGGTGGTGGCAGC